AATCCCCGTCACAACAAACATGCTCGCCCATTTCAGCCGTGGGGGCGTTATAATGTGACGGTGAATCCCACTATTCGTTGGTAAAAGAGTAGCTCAAGAGTTGGCGGTGGGTGGTGATGACTAGCTGCCTTCCCTCTAGTCTTACACTGCTAAATTAGGGATGGCTAACGCAAATAGCCCTCGTGTAGCTTTGCGCAAAATTCAAAAACAAACAAACTAAGCCTCGCCCGGCGTATTGCGTTTCTTTTGTTATAAACTTTCTGACTTTTGATTTTTCGAAAATGTATTTTTATCTTTTATACATATTAAATACAAATCTGGGCAATTTTGAAATGATTGAAATGTAACTGAAATAAAATTGTTCATAAACATAATTACTTAAACAGTAAAGTTGAACCAATGGTTAGTTTTCTATACAACTCCTACATAGAAACGTGTGACGATAATAATTAACTTTATGACACCTGTATAATGCCTTCTAGTATCTGATTATGCATGCAACTTCTAAAATACACACAATTTATAACAATTAATTAATTCCAACTTACATGATATTTGTTAAAACTGAATCTTTTTTTTTTTTAACTTGAAACTTTAAAAATTCAAAGTAATTTGTATCGTTTGGATTTACTTCGATTTAAAACTTAATGTATAGAAAGATAATTTCTATACGTTTCAACAGATGGAGACACAGTCATAAAGTCTCTCTCTCTCTACATCCAAACCAAGAATAACTTTTCGATAAAACTTAAATTACTTTAAACTATCAATATACAGTCAGTTTTAAATTGAGATTTTTATTTGTTTAAATACTTAATATCGAAATTACGTTGTACAAGGTTTTTGTATAAACCCAGTATACATGAATAAACATTTTTTTTTAAATTTTTCTAGCAACACCTGATCATCTTCACTGTAAAGTCCGAAAATGAAGGAAAACCAATTATTTGAATCTCACAATTGAAATCTATTATTAGTATTAAATAAATGGGCTACAGATATTTCTACAAATACTAACCAGTTATTCCAACTATTTCTTCGTGATGTTCCCTTTTAGGGTTACGGCAGTGGAATTATTTAATTTTCGTGTCTGTGAAAGTACATATCAATAACATGATTTATTTTATCAGTCGTCTTGCAGTCGCATGACTGATGAATCACGTGCGCAAAGAATCACTCCTGATTGGCTAAAGGCAAGTATCATCTTGTCTGTTAAATAATAGGTTCACTGTGGTGACTGAAAGACATCATACAGTTGTTGTTCAGGGGTGCTGAACAAAGGTTGCCTTGCCTGAAACCGGTATAACTGAGTGGAGAATCAAACGATGAACCGGTCTTCATATTTATTTTTGGTATGATTGTCACTGACATAAGATTTGTTTTTTAAGACTCATAACGTAGGTAAATTAATATGTATAATTTATACATGGACTTTTCTCTACCTTATAATACTTTTATTTAGTTGCGAGCTTCTGGCCCTATTATCGGGAAACAATACACTGAGCAAATAACAGAAAAGTATTTTTTAAAACATAGAGAAAAGTCCGTGTATAATTCTACACACTGACATTAACTTATCATTAAATACAGCTGCCGAAACTGACGACATGTCGTTTTTAATTAGCAAGAAATCCCACGAAAAGCTCGCCGGTGACTCAGCGATAAGACTGAGGTTTCATAACGCTCCAAATTGGGTTTTGATGCCCTTGTGTAGCTTTTTGCTTGACAACAAAATAAACAAACCCATGAAACATATTGAGGTATAAGAAAACAGACTGGTGGTTGAATAGAAAACTTACTCATTTTTCCCATTCTGTCAAAAACATGCACGTATAGGCAAATGAGTAGAAGCCCACAGTTATCATTTACCACAGGTGAAGTGAAACTGATAAACGTGTTCAAAGAAAGCCTCGTCGTGGAAATATTGTCCGCAGCAAAACAACAACAAACAAGCAGCACAAGAAGTTGGAGTTCGCTAAGCACAAACTCAACTGTCTTTGAAAAATAAATCCATGTAGATTTGTGAGTATTAAAAACAAAATACGATGGTTCGAAAACGAATCACAAACAAAAAAAAACTCACGCACACCGTCAGACAGTTACGGTAATCGATATAGCCAACCCTGGGTGGTGGATACTAACACACACAGAACAAAATCATTGTTTTAAGACAAAAATGGATGAAAAACGTGACTGAATTTTAGTGTCTAGCGATCTGACTCTAGTTAACAACTTGAGTTTACTGTAATTAGTGAAAGTCCAAAAGAATACGGCATCACTAAGAAACTGGAGACGATAACACCAATAAACTGGAGATATTTTCTGGCTCCATATTTTTTATTTCTGATTCAACAAGTAGCGATACGGAGGAGAGCTTCACTAAAAAAAATTGATGTGATGTCACAGTAACTCTTGGAATAATGAAAGTTAATTTCCTATTGTTGACGAAAAGTGCGGACAATAATCCTGTGACGTAGATACAACTCATCGTGACATCGGCTCTGTTGGAACTGATAACACTCTTGACGACGTCTGGGTTATGCCATTAGCAGTTTTGTAAGACGGATCCAGTTGTTATGGTTACAACATCTGATTATCAGCTGTATCGGTTAAATTAATGAGGTGGACACTTAACGAACTGATGTACTTTTATAGCTAAAGTAGTGGAGTGTCTAGAAGTCTGTATTACGTATGTTACATTAGGGGCTAGACAGGTAATGTGTATGTTAAAGTAGGGTTTAGGTTTGTATTACGTATGTTACATTAGGGGCTAGACATGTAATGTATATGTTAAAGTAGGGTTTAGGTTTGTATTACGTATGTTACATTAGGGGCTAGATATGTAATGTATATGTTAAAGTAGGGTTTAGGTCTGTATTACGTATGTTACAGTAGGGGCTAGACATGTAATGTGTGTGTTAAAGTAGGATTTAGGCCTGTATTACGTATGTTACAGTAGGGGTAGACATGTAATGTGTGTGTTAAAGTAGGGGTTAGGTCTGTATTACGTATGTTACAGTAGGGGCTAGACATGTAAT